CTATCCTATGTGCTAAAATGTGTTTTTTAACTTAAAATGTTATAGTCAATTGAGATAACTCCCCAAACATTTGTTAATTTGCATGCATATTTGTACATGTATTTTGATTTTAAGTAATATATAATCAATGCAAAAAAATGTCCCGACTGAAACTTGATGTCTGACTTTGAGATATACAATGAGATATAACTTTAGAATTCATGTTGAATTGATACCTTTTTTTTTTTTTGGTAAGTCAATATGTAGTCTGGCAAGAAAAAAAAAAGCGATAACAAGTTTTAGGCTTAAGGCTTTATGTTGATATGAGGAATCCATTATTTATTTTTTATTTTTTCAACCCACTTATATACGACCTTTACAAAAGAATGCAAGGTAAGTGATGGGTGTCTCTTGGGCTCATATGTAATTGGAGATTTTAAGAAAAGTGCTGATGCGATAGAGGAATGCACCTCTTCCTAGCAGCTAGGGAAAGTGCCGCTCTGATTGAGAAGAACATGGCAAGGCAACACTCAGGCTCTCTTGAATACAGCTTGCTCTCCTAAACAGCTTTCAAACAATTTCCAAAACTTAGGAGAAGACATTTAAGAGAAAGAAGTGTTGAAGTTCGCTAGGATTAGTGTTTGGCAGGTCTTATGGTCGTGTTTTTAGTGTTTTGAATATCGAAATGCTTCTGTTCTTAGGTTTCCACCTTCTTTGACATCATTAATTACTGGAGGCATGACTAATTTGGCTTAGTGTGATGAAGAGAAAGAATGTAAGATAGTAAACATGTTTCTTTAGGATATTCTAGAGGAACTTCCTAAAAGTATTGCCAGCATTCACAATAATGGGCCCACTAACTTCCTATGGGAGACACAGAAATATGTACATTTTCTGGGCATGGAACTTTGGTCTAATTTCTCTGCAAGTTCAAGTCTCATCCCAGAGGTGGGCAAAGAAGAGATTTGGAATAATCCTCTTCAAAATAGACTCCATAGAGATGGTCATGCCTGAATAGGAAATGGCTACTAACTTTTCCTGCTGTTAGCTCAGGCCCTTGCCTGGGATATTCTTTATGTTTTCTTGTTTATGAATGATGGCACACAAGCCGAACTGGAGAATCCAGGCTCGTGGTCATTTATGCTTTTGGTTATTTCTTTCAGTAACTGTAATAGATCAATCTAGTATATTCATATTTGTCTACTGTTCTTCATGATATAGCGTCTGAGCAAATGTGACATTGGGAGAGGGTATCTTTTAGGAAAATAAAGAAAAGGTCGTAACGAGCAAAATCAATCACAACCTACCACAGGACATCTTCATGATGGGTGTACTGAGGACATATCTGTTTATTCAAAACCAACAGAAATGGAAGAGAAGGAAGAGGTTAAATGGAAGAAGGATACATTGGGGGTAGGTGGGAGAAGAGAGAGAGATAGCGACGGGGGGGTAGAGATAAATACTATAGGTAACATTCTATAGAGACATAAGAAACTTTAATTTATTGATCAGCCGACTACATCTGCCTATGGTATACCTTATTTTTCCACTTAAAAATTTGGGTTTGGTTTCTGTTTTCTGTTTCAAAGTTAAGAATGTTAGACTAATAATTAAGTTTAAGTTAATGTGTACTTTGAAAGGCCCTAGATGCAGCATCTAACCGCGTGTCTTACACCTGGTAGGCTTGTTATACAGTTTATGATTCAGAGATAAAAGCAATATCAAAAGAAACATATTAAAGTTGTTAATAAATTGGTATGTAATCGTTTTCAAAGAAATCAGTAGAGAAGAGGTGCCTGCTCTGAAGTATATAAATGAAAAAGGGAATGGTTTTCTATTTAGGTTGTGTGTGTATTTGGTATGTGTAGGTTTCTCTGTTCCTTATGATACAGTCCATTAATCTGAGAAGACTTCTGAGTATTCTTTGTGATAAAATATTTTACAATAGCCACACTGAAAAAAAATTCCAAGAAGGAAAGGTATGGATGGAACTTCTTATCATCACACAGTTTTTTTTTTTTTAACTCTTTCCTTCTTTTCAGTTTAATGATGTGCCAATTCAGTTTTCTTCTCGCTACCTTAACTAACTGGCAAGAAAAACAGGTTCTATTAACCAGGACAAGAGTTTGGCAAAAGCGGCGGTAGAAAGTTTTTCTCCAACCCTTTATAACTACCTTAACAGCCCTTCACATTAAATTGACACCCAAAGCTTAAGCTCCAGAATGGACAAAGGGATAACCGTACATTTTTCTATCTCTTTATTTTATCTTTATCTCACAAATCTACATTCATGCCAAGGACATTTTTCTCTATTGGGATTGTGTGCGTTAAGAACCAAGTAGATGTTGCCATTCGCATGACAAAACAATCACTTCTTCCTGGCTCATACTTGAAACCAATTCCTACCCGCCTTTCATGGAGCATTTAAGATAATTCTCCAGTCACATAGTTTAAAAATCTGATTGAAAACAAAAAGGTCAAAAGATTGTTTTTGAAATGATCACAGAGTTTAAAATTTGTAGCCATCAATTAGCCACTGCTCTTTACGTCTCTCCCAAGAAGAGAAAGAAATGACTCCAAAGACTTGACTTTCTTTGCTCGGATTTAATATCCATGGATCTTGCTATCTTCTCTTTCAGAAGGTTTTGCTCTTTTATTCTAATGACTCACAATAGAAAAGGCAGTGACACCTGGGGTACATATGTTTTTCTAAGACATTTGAAACTCTTTCACTTGGGAAAGGACTGTGTAAAAAGTCTGGGCCTGGTCAATTTAATATAGATATTTTTAAATAGGAGGACTAATGGCAATATAACACCTTTTCTTTTGGAGAGATTCTTTTGGAAGAGATGGAAAGATTGTGTAAGAAGAAACCTCGGATTTTTTCAGATTTTGCTGAATCTATAGCAGTGTCCTTATTGTTTTCAGTGAAACTATGAACAGGAGAATGTGTAATAAAACTGCACAATTTGACAGATTTAGACAGCTGGCTCCCTCACCAGAAGTTCACATTTTGTTAATGTCACCCACGTTGAATAAGGGACGATTAGATGGTAAGGTCCATTTACAAAAATGGTTGTCAGGACATTTTTTTTTTTTTAATTGTAAAACTTTCTGTGATGGAATTCAGTAAAAGGGCTATGAAGAGAAAGCAACGGAGACAAAAGACTGCTATTAACCTCCAGATGCTGGCTACTGCAGGTTCATGGCAAGATTTGTCACACTCTCGGGCCAATGAAGTGTTAGTGTGACTAGAAGGGACCACCCCTTTTCTGGGGTAAGAGGGCAATTTGGTCTCCATGCTCATTTAATCCTGAGACTTCTTTGAATAGACTGTCAATTGAATCTAAATTGTGCAAAATTATGCATGCACTTTTTAATGCAGGCTATTGTTCACTAAGCACTGAACCAAGGTTTCTCAACCCATTTCCATTTGGCATGAGGTCACTTGAAACTTAAGTAATCATATATGGAAGACAAGAGCAGTGTACTTAAACAACCTTTCTACATAAACGCTCACTGTGCTTGAATTGAAAATCTCTCGCCTTAAAACAATAGAGAAATACTAGTTACACGATTTTATTCTTTTTAATTGAGGTTCATATTCCTATAGGTAAGGAGCAGGTTTGGAAAGTCAGCCTATGTTGCATAATCTACACTAGTCTCCAGTTTAGATTCTGGAAGAACAGATGTTTATAGGACAACCTAGAGTGGGTGTGCACATCACGATAGATGTTTTCTCCGTAGTGCAAAGAGGCCTTATAATTTTGTTATGATCCAAATGTGGAGAGCTGGCCTCAAAAACCATTAAGAAAAATGTCCATCAGACTTTTTGCTGCTTTAAATTAAAACATGGCATTTCTTTAAAAACCTGAACAGAACATTTACAGAAATTTATTCATACATGAACCAAAGAGGATTTTCATTGAGTTCTAAAGGAACATATACATTAAAACCCATATTTGGCAAGGATTATTATTTAAAAAATTTGTACAAGTGACAGCTTACATAGCCAAGATTTGTTCAAAACGAGTGAGCGCTTCTCCAGTGAGGTTCGTTCAGTGTGAAATCTGCAACATTCTAATCACATATACACTGACAGTCTTGCTATGCACTTTACATATGTTTAATGCTGGAATTTTATAAGGATTGGCTGTTTTCTTGCTTTTTCATCCGTCGTTAATGATTACATGTTGGCACAAGGATACATTGCTAGATTAGATCCACAGCACATTAAAGACTGTTTGCTTTCTCACTCCCCTTCTTTCCAATTAAGTTGGTGAAAAATGTAACTTTAGTATTTTACAGGACAGGGCAAAGGTGTTTCATCTAGGTGATGTCTATATTATAAAAATAAAATAAAAAATATAAATAGGTAACACAAACCCAGTGCCTATTGTTAGATACAATATATAATAAAAGCAGACCTTTTAGGAAGATTGATTTTAGAATATGCTGTTATGATTTAATTATAAAACACTTGAAAACAATCTTGAGATTAAACTAGAGTAACCAGATTTCTCTGCCAATAAAAAGTAAGTGGGTAACATTCTGTAATTGGATACATTGATACAAATGAAGATTACAATTTTATATCAAGTTGCCCATTTAGAAATTCATCAGGGAGTTCTGAAACATTCTCACATTATAATCCTTTAATATAAAAATATTGCCTTTTTTTTATTAGATCCATCAGATTGCACAGTAATGTTTCAAAACTCCATTAAAGTTGACTTTGGTTATTACAGACAGAAAATTCCTGGGAAGCCAAATAATCTCTTCTGGTGACATAAACATTCCGTTATCAATTTACAATGGAATTTCTGTGTAAATTACTCCACACAAGGAAATATATATTTTTAAAACCCATCTGTTATGCAACCACGCGTATAGGGGTTGTTAGTGTGTGTGTGTACGTGCCTTTGTGAACAAACGTGCCAACATACACACACAGAATCTGCACATTTCTGTAAATTATTTTTAAATTAATAAAAGAAAATGAAATCACAGGAAGTGTGTAGTAGGATAACAGTCTTTCTTTTTAATGACAGGATAAAAAATAAATGCCCATTGGAAAGGAATATTCAAACAGTCCCAGAAACTATACAATGTAACTTGTTAGATCCAGCAAATAAGATGTCATGTCAATGATCTGATCAAGAATACCTGCCCTGGTCACTCGGCGGATGTTTCTGTCCACTTGTTCACACTGAGGACCGAGATATCCTTTTTTACAGAGGCACTTGTTCGGTCTAACACAGACACCTCCATGACGACATGCCGGCTCACATTTTGCTGGGAGGGGAAAAAAAAAAAGCAATAAAACCACACTCTCATTCTGTGTGTCAGAAACAGTGCCGAGTACGAGGCCAACAAATATTTGATGAGTAAGGGAAGGGAGGGGGAGGAGGTAGCCAGTCACAAAATGATCCAAAAGATGATAAATACGAGAGGGAAAGAAGATTTCCAGAGCCACAGTTATGTGCGGGCTAGAGCTCAGTAGAGAATGGGAGACATTTCCAGGGAAGGAGAGATCATGGGAGGCAAGTTCAATCCCTTCCGGAACTGACTCGATTTCCATTGAGGATTCCAGCTCTTTCAAACCCATGTGCCACTAGGGTGTTTCCAACAGAGGGCCTTCCAAGTAACTCTAGGTTCCCATTCTTCCAGGGTAGGACCTTAAAATGTGGGAAGGGCCTGGCCTGAGAGGGAGGCCTAGCGGCTTCAGCCTCTCCAGTGCCGTATAAAGGCACGGTCAGTTCTCAAGTTAGGTTCGATGGGATATCTCCCATGGGGACTCCCTTGGATTCCTCTTTTCCTTTGCTCCTGGGGAGTGCATTATATTGCTTCATCTCTGATTACACTTTGTAGCCCTTCTTGGGGCAGTGCAGTTGGCCAGGGAAAGATATTCTTAGCAATCCTTTTCAGGGTTACTCTACACACAGGATCTCTTCATATGAGGATTTTTGCCACCACAATATAGGTGGGAAATGTAAAGATTTACTGCTGGGGCACCTGAGTGACTCAGTCAGTTAAGTGACTGGCTCTTGGTTTTGGCTCGGGTCATGATCTCAGGGTCATGGCTCCATGCTGGGTGTGGAGTCTGCTGGAGATTCTCCCTCTGCCCCTACCCCACTGCTGGTACACTCTCTCTAAAAAATAAATTAATTAATTAATTCTCTAAAAAAAAAAAGATCTACTGCCAAAATGAGATACAGAGACAAAATTGGTTTGTATAAATTAATTGCATTTTACTGATGGGATAAATCTGTAGACAGAATCAAATTCTGTCACTGTAGACAGAATCAAATTCCTTGAACACGTTTCTTTACACTTTTGGGGGACAGGGTTATTTTAACCTTTTCAAATGCATTAATCAAAACCCAGGGGTCTGTGGCTGACAAATGGAAAAGAAAAAACTAGAGAATAATTAGACGATTTTTTAAAATTTGTAGGCAATGAACTATGTTAGTATATGAATAAAGTTCTTGCTTGGGTCAAAAACATCATGAATAGATTACCTTTATAAAAGGGTTCTGGTTTATCTTATATATTCAAACTATTTAAACTGACTAGTAGAAAGATTAAAGTACTTTATTGAAATAAAACTTCATGTTATCTCAAAGAATGTCTATTTTCATTTACATCACTTATTATTATTATTATTAATATCTATAATGTAATGTATAATGCCACCTATATTCAAAATAATTTGGTTATGGGGTGCCTGGGTGGCTCAGTGGTTTAAGCGTCTGCCTTCGGCTCAGGTCATGATCCCAGGGTTCTGGGATCGAGTCCCATATCGGGCTCCCTGCTCAGTGGGGAGCCTGCTTCTCCCTCTCCCTCTGCCTCTCTCCTTGCTCATGCTCTCTCTCTCTCTGTATCTCTGTGTCTCGAATGAATAAATAAAAAAAAAATTAAAAAAAGCAAAACAAAATAATTTGGTTACCCTCAGTTCTAACATACTATTACCAGAAGGTACTCAGTAAATTTTTGTTATCTGATAACCTGAGGTGACTTAAGAGGTTAGGCAAAATACAAAGTAAGAAGTACAACAGAATGGACACTATTATAAAAGAAGCAGAGAGAATAGGTATTGTCAGTCATTAAAGGGAGCAGAAGAAAGATATATTATCAAGAATTAGAATATTTGTGCATTTGAAGACTGATTCTCATTTTTTTGTCAACTATGGAAAAAGAAGACAGAATGGGTCAATAAAAGGTAAGCATTTGTTTTAACTGATGTAATTACCTAATTTTGGTAGAGCTTTAATTATGATAGCTCTCTCCTAGATATATAACCCTAGTAATAATCAACCAGGTAGTGTTATCCCTGCTGAAGCAATTTAAGTTTAAATGTATACTGTGTATGTGACTTTAAGTGTTGGCTACATTTTGTTAGACGATATATAGACAAGTTATGGTTATCATTTTTGGAACAAATAATATATGTTTAGAATAAAGGAAAGATAACATTTAGGCATTAAAGATAATATTAAATATGAATTTGGAACACATTCTCATTGGCAAGAGATACTTTAATATCTGAGATAGCAGAGCTCAAGTTCTTTTGTAAGAATATGCATACGCTGGTTGTTGAAAATGCATTAAAAATGCATTTATCCTTATGGAGATCTTTCCCAGTTTTACTGAGAAATAAATGGCATGCATCGCTGTGTAAGTTTCAGGTATAAGCATGGAAGTTCGGTTTGCGTATATTCTGAAATGATTCCCACAACAGATTTAGCAAACACCCATCACCTCATATATAAAAGAAAAGAAAATTTCTCCTGAAAATGCATTTTTCAACACATACTTTCTTAAACTTTATCCAATTTGAATTTATCCAATTTTCTTCACATCAAGCAGAATGTAAACATCGTTGCATGTAATTGAGGAAATCCCTGGTTAAAGGATAGAGTAACCCTGGAATAAATCTCTTCTGCTGTCTCTGAGTAGCTGTACACCTAGCTGATGGGTCACAAAGGAGTGGCAAAAAGAATTAAAAACCTCATACTGTGCCTCCAGATAATTGCGCTTTCCCCTTTTATTTAATAACACCCACTGAAAAACCCTGCTTTTCAGGCACTGCCGCAAGAAAGCAAGCAGTAAAGTTAGGGAGGGCATTTATGGGGTGTCTGGAAAATGCTGGCACTTGGAGAGGGGCTTTGCAAACACGAGGTCATTGGCTGGTGTGAAATCTCAAACCTGGGACTGAGAGGCTGTACAGATGATCGCGTTGTGCTGTGTTCATTCTGTACTTTTTGAAAGGACTCGGTTATTTAAAAGTCTCTTATGTTTATGATTAACCTTTAGAAGTGCACTGTTTACAACAGGAACATGGGAAAGATTTCATTTACAAGTTTAGAAACAGATGGAGCGTTAATATGATAAATGGCTAAATTTTGAACCGTAGATCATTCTAGAAGAAAGAGCTGACATTAAGTTCTTGAGTTCCCAAGGACTGTCCCATGCCCAGTCTTTCCTGGGGACAACAGAAACACTCACCAATTCTGCAGAAGTCCCCTTCCCATCCCGGGGTGCAGCAGCACTTGCCCGTGGGGGTACAGTAGCCGTTCCGACAGAGCCGGGAACACTCCGAAGTCAACGTCTGAGCAGGTTGTACCGTGGCTCTGCATTCCTCAGGCATTAGAGGTCTGCATCAGAAGACAACGGTTCCAAGTATATGTTGGTTGAAAATCAGGATTAGGATGAAACCCAGTGATTTTTGTCGCTTGCAAAGCATTTCCTTTGCTTTCTAAGGACACCTTTTTTTTTTTTTTTTAAAGATTTTTATTTATTTATTTGACAGAGAGAGACACAGCGAGAGAGGGAACACAGGCAGGGAGAGTGGGAGAGGGAGAAGCAGGCTCCTCGCAGAGCAGGGAGCCCGATGTGGGGCTCGATCCCAGGACCCCGGGATCATGACCTGAGCCGAAGGCAGACGCTTAACGACTGAGCCACCCAGGCGCCCCAGGACGCCTTTCTTTTAAGCGGCTCGGAAAGATTGACAACTTTCTGAGAGTGGAAAATCCACACCAGGGAGGCAAAAATCTAACTAACCAATTTTGAACCAGAGAACATACTAAACATTATAAGAAACTTTATCACAATCAAAATTCATTGATTAAAACTGTAATTATGTTGATATTTTCCATTCAGTAGCTAAACATTTCTAGCAATTACATTTCTTAAAATAAAGACGTACCAATACTTTAAAATGTTTTTTTCCCAGATCTACAAAAATTTTTAGGAATAGTATCTGAGATAGTTTTTGCTTGTTTTTGGCATATTTGGTAATATCACAGAGCTGAAGGCATTCATCTAAATAAGCACTTGCAGCCTAAAAATGCTTGGGAATCAATTTTTGTTTCATTTCATATTTTTCTTGAAATACCTGTCTCAGACTGATTTTTCTTGAAGGGAGATCTCTGTACTGTGTGTGTGTGTGTGTGTATGTGTATGTGTTTACTATTGACTCAAAATTTCAACCCTTTATGCAAAAAATAATCCATATATATACATTTTCAGATTTTTTATTTTGTAATGCTATGAAGAAAAAGAATGCTATTAGCAAACAGAAACAAACATCGTATCTGCTAAGTAAAAAGTCATAGACTTTAATTGCTCTACCACTGCCATCATTTAGAGATACCTTCAGAAGATTTTTATGGTTCTTACTGTTTTTGACATAAGAGGTTGTCTTTCAGGCTGGGTGAGGCTGGAAGCATGGTCACAACTGCTCATTAACTAATCTCGGAGAAACAGCGCGCAGTGGTACTCCTCCATCAGTCACTTTTGCCTGTGCTACAGTGTGGTGAGAAGGTTCTTTTCAGTTCAGGAATGTAAACAAACGGTCATCACCACCATTAAGATGGCCAAGGCAGTAGGACTCCTTAAGCACCGTAACAAAGAAGGTGATAATTATAGGTCAAAGCCACTAAAAGAAGTAAATGATATAGCTTTCCGAGATAAGCAAATAATTTGGCCCTGTAGACTCCAGTTTTCTTGAGATAGGTTATCTTGTTATGTCCTTCTGGCAATAGGAAGTGGTAATACCCTGGGGCCTGACTTCAGGCTATTTCTACAATGACTCAAAACTGTATTCAAAATATATAGTGACTTCTTAAGCTCCTCTCTCCAATAAAAGTCTCACTTTGTGTTGAAAGTACTGTGTTTTGCAACTAACGTGACAATTCAGAAAACTCCCTTAAATCCATTCTACCTCTTTTTTAAAATCTAGAAGCGGTCAATTTATGTGAAAGGCCCTCAAGGCATTCTATGGACTGAGCATATTTTCACTCAGATAACATTAGTGAATAATTTCCATGTGTTCCCCAAGGGAGTCTTTCTGGGGGTATAAGCAGGGGGGGGGTTGAGGTGGAGAAAAAGTGAAATGGGTATGCCAAGGAAAGTGGGCGTATTAACTTCACCTTCCTGTTTTGTTGTTGAATAACCCAAGTTGGCTCTAGTTCTTCCTCAATAAAATTCTTACTTTGTGAAACCATGGTGGCATTTTCGATCACTAGAAGAGCTGTTTTTCAATAGCCATGAAGTTCCTCTGAGTCATAGGCCATGGCATTCAGTAAACAGGTATTTTACTGGTAACTGAAATTCTGTTTATCCAATTTCTACTGATTACTCCCTCATTCACTCTCTTTCTGACTCATTCAAGAAGAGATTCTAAAGTAGAGTGTGTCAAAAATATATTACATGTATATGACACATTGGGGCGCCTGGATGGCTCAGTTGGTTAAACCAACTCTTGGTTTCGGCTCAGGTCATGATCTTGGGGTCATGGGATCGAGCCCCGCATCGAGCCCCGCGTCAAGCCCCACGTCAGGGCTCCACGATCACTAGGGAATCTGCTGGAGATTCCCTCTCCCTCTACACACACCCACACGCTTGCTCTCTCCCTGTCTAAAATAAATAAGTGTTTAAAATATATATGTTTTATATATATATAAATACACATTTATATATGACATACGATATATATCATGCTATATATGATGCAAAATATGCAGGCACGTAGCTCATACACTCCTTGACAATATGGTTTATGCCTGAGCAGATGAATTTGAAGAGGTGAGAACACCATTTAGATGAAGAATGTAAATTACTGGTTAAACAACCACCACCAGAAGATGTCGCCCGCCTGGAGCAGAGTGTAGGGACACTGATTCATGAGCACTGGGAAAAGGAATGAGGATGTGACAAATAAGGACCCGATAGTGAAGTACAGTTCTTCAGGGGAGGCATCTGCCTCTTGTTTCCCTGCTGACCCTCCAGTTTGATGCTTTGACTCTTTTTCCCCAAACATTCAATTATGTGGAAACTCAGATGGGGGGGGATTCTAAGTTGTTTTTTGCCTAAGATTTAGTAAATGCTTATCTATCTGTGGATGTAACTATTTCATACTTGGGCTTGTTTACTTTAGTTTATAAACCTATGTGATTATCATATATGAACATGATTCCCTTAAGTTTTTATTTAAATACCCAGAAAAGAATCCTTTTTCTCTTTAGTGCAGTGGCCAACTAACATTCCTCACTTAGCATCTTAAATAAATCCTCTCCCTCTCTTTAAACTGTTATTCTATTGGGGATCCATTAATTGGAAATTTTCATGGAGGACAGCCCATCTTTTTTTTTTTTTTAAGTAGGTTTTTATTTTTAACGTGGGGCTTGAACTCATGACCCTGAGATCAAGAGGCCCATGCTTTACCGACTGAGCCAGACAGGCGCCCCAGGGATAACCCATCTCTTATAGAACTTTACTTCTCTTAATGAATGGATTCCCCTATCTCCTTTCCCATCCCCTTTGAAATGAAAGCTTTCTGAAGGCAAAAGTGACATATTCAATCCTCCTCAAGACCAGTCAGTCACTCACTCAGGGAAATACTGTGCTCTTCAAGGGGTAAGACATAAATAAAATAGGGTTCCAATCCTCATGGAGTCACCATGGGGCAGACAGACATTTGAACACAAAATTATAACACAGTGTAACCTTTGTTATGATATAGGTGCATATGAAGTAACACAAGAATACTGACAAGGAAGCAATTAGTTTAGGATTGAAGGATGTTTTAGAAGATGACATTTAAACCACCAAAATATTTTATCTCTTTCAACTCCTTATATTCAGAGGAGCTAGGAAAACACTACAGAAGCATTCAATAAATGTTTATTGAACGCATATAGTAGAAACTTTCTCAAATGCTTTTTCTGGACTATGTTTCCCTTTCTTCTCTTGTGTCCTTCCAGGACCTAGGAAAATGTGCAACATATGGAAGATATTTAAAAGTCTGTTGAATGAATGAATAAATAAGAATATGGAATTTTAAGAGAGTGTTTTTTTTTTTTCTGTGCTACTAAGTAAAGATATTAGGAATATTCAGACTATTTAGGAGAGGGATATCATTAAAATCTAGTTGTTATACTTTTATATCCTAAGCTTAAAACTAAAAACACTTGTTATATTTCTGTTGCCTAAATTAACTCGAGGCTTACAAAATTCTTCTAAGGCATGGTTAAATTCATTTTCAATGAAACATTTTTACATTAATCATAGTGATAGTAAATAAACAACAGACTAAGAAGTAAGCATGACACAAAGATAGGATTGTTTTCTCCTCCAGCTGGGAATTAAGCCAATGTATTAAAATTCATTCTTCTGGTTAAATATTTGGTAAAAGTCTAACAAAGAGTTTTGGTTATCCCAACCATCCTCCTCCACTCACTCTCTGTTCTAGTGACATTTCTTCCTGCCATTGAAAAAAAACAGGGTTTCTTTACATGCAATGAGGAGAAGAGAAAAGGGGATAAAACAAGTAAATGTGAACTTTTATAGTGTCACCTTGAAATAGTCCATCATATGCGTACGTAATTATTACATATACACAACTACATGGCATCAAAACAAAAATCTAGATTATGTGTGTATATTATATATTTATAGTGATAGGTTACCTCATTTTTCATTCTTATTTTTATTTTACTGGAAAATTGGGTGTTTTAATGTGGGTGTACTAAGAATTGCTTAAATAGTTTTGTTCTTCTTTTAAACAATTATTTTCTTAACTTTTGGGTTCTTATCTCTACTGAATGAAGTCCAAGATAGGTTTCAAAGTAGAAAACTTCCCCAAAGGATTTTAGGTTTGTAATAAGAAATATATCAAACCCATTTGTCGATAGTTATCCCTATAGTCCTCAAACTTAATTTAAATCAGAAAAACACTTTATAATCTTTACACTTGACAATGAAAAAATAAGGACTAGTACCAAAAAATTGTCCAACATTCTTTAATGCATAAAGCATTATTTCTGGAAATGTAAGATGTTTTCTTAGAAACCCACTTTTTCTGGTTTTGAGTAGTAGCATAAGGGTTGAGATATTTTCTTGAAATAAAGAAAGAAGTTGAGAAGCATAAGTGATTTATAACATATCCTACATGATGACTTTTTGTGACTAGCTAAAGCCTACAGTGAATGTCTTCAGGTAGTGAGATTATAGATGGCTTTAATTTTAGGATATTTAATTTAATAAATGATTAAATAAATCAATAAATGAGAAGTCCTCTGTGTATCTGGATGGAAGCACAGGGATAAAGCCTGTCTGAGTAAGCCTGCTCTTCAGATTGAGTGTGTTAGAAATC